GAGGAGGGCTGATGGACTCGGCTGTGAGTGCGTTAGCTGTGAGCGTTGCAGCAGGAGTGGGTGCTCACTGGGTGCATGAGTGCTCAACTGCCTCTTTCCTCAAGTCAGGACTGATTGAGAGGAGGTCAGATATCGTCAAATGAGGGATGGGGGTGTTGAGGATGGCTTTGTAGAGCCGTTTGGCTGTGTTGGGTGAGTTGGCCTTCGATTCATACCTAAACACTGGTTCTTTCTTCAGCTCAGTAACAGCGGTTTTGATGGCTTCGAGAGGTGCAGGGATGGAAACGGCTCGTACAGGAGCAGGAAGCGGGATGGGTTGTGCGGAAGGAGCACTGTCGGGGGTTTTTACGGCCTTGGACTTGGACCTGGTGATGGTGAGTGTCTCAGCCAATTGCTCATCAGTTTCTTCTTCAACCATTACAATTACTGCATGATTCTCAGCGACGGGGTCACATTGCAGAAAGTATGATTTGGAAATGAAAGCAGAGGATGGGATTTCGATGGGTGCCTGTGGAGTCGGCTCTCGTTGGGGGTTATCGATGGGAATAGAATTGGATCCGGTTGCGGGTGTTGAAGGCTGTGCTGTGGAATATCTAGCATCAATTACTTGTTTGAAGGTGTCACTTCTGAAGTGTCGTATGCGTAATCGATCTGGGTAGGCAAAATACGGCCCATCTCGAATGATCCGCCCTGCCCGTAAGTATTCTCCGGCCAGTGGAACAGGTACGCATAACATGAGGTCCTCCACAGAAGAAACACTTGGTGTTTGGCGAGTCATTAGAGGATGAAGGAAGGGGAGGAAGGGGGAGATAGGGTAGCGCATTTTGAGCTGGGATGGAAGTGTTGATGAGTTGGCAGGGATTTGGGGGGTGTCCATGCCTGCGCAGCTGCGGGTGCTAGACAAACAAGTCGGGTATAACAACCCGAGTATGTGACGTCACCAATATCAAGGCCATGCATCTTCTGCGCCAATGCTTCGACTTCGTCAATGGTGTTCTTGACTGGAGCTGGTGGGGGAGAGGTGAACGTGACTCGCTTAGTCTGTACTTCTCTTCTAACATCCTTTCTCTCTTCTTCATCGTCTGAATCCCAGGGAGCAGCGGTCTTGACTTTAGGAGCGCGTGCCTCCCTTATCGTGTGTATCCGTGTCGCTATGGGCTCATTGAGGTCCGCATCGAAAGTGTCATCCGAGAACACAAAGCATCCTGCCTTAAGGACTTCTTCAAAATCCATGGCCTCCATCCTCGAGTAGTTGACGTCTTTGAGTTCCAGAATGTCGGTCTATAGCACGTCAAGCAGAGGCTGGTAGACCTTGCCAGAAATACCGGTCTTGTTCTCGCGTGGAGATTTTGCCATTCGCAACGAGCCAGTGTGCCACAGGGCGAAACTGCCTGTAGTACTGTAGTAGCTCCATTTCAGTCGAAATATCATTGTCGGTGTTGCTAATGACAATTCGCTCTAGATCACGAATTGAATACCTCTGACCTTTGGCTGCTCCAGAGTATTGCGCTAATATACTTGTCTTGAAGATGGTGAAGTCCTTGCTTTCATATCCAGTTAGCGTTACCCAGAAGTGTTTCGTCTGGATGTCGACGTAACAGACGATCATCTTGCATTTCTCAGCGTCGGTGAGAGCACATGCCGATGCTAAGTCTTCGAATAGTTTGAAGAACTCCAAGAGTTCTGAAGTTTTGCCGTTGAACATTGGCGCTTTGCTCGAATTGGCACCAGGCATGGCGTTTATGCCTTTTGAGGCGTTGGACATGATGACTGGTGGTTGGAATGGTGTGGGAGGAGGTATAGCGGGAGGCGGGGGAATTACAGGTTGTGAATTTGCAGCTGTGGATGTGTGAGCGGGAGGTACAGTTTTGCGAGGGATGAATTCGGGTTTGGGAATAGGGGGGACGTTTGACGTGGCAAGGGTGGCTTGGATGATCACAGGTTCGGGAGGAATTGGCGGAAGTGTGGGCATCTCGGGGTCGAAAACGGCCGGTCTAAGGATGAATGTTGGCTGGGCGGTTATAGCAGGAAAGGGTGAATTTGCACGTGGGGGAAGGTTCACAGTATTGTCGTCTGATAGAGACGATTCTGTCGGTCCGTCTGTTGCATCTTGGAAAAGTCTGGCACGTTGATCAAATCTAAAGTGAGCCGGGGTGACAGCAAGCGAGTCGAGAAACTGTACTGCTGCGGCAGAGGAAGAGGTGGTAGGAGTGTTATAGGTATTGGCGCAGCTTCAGCATTTCTTGGCTTCGGTGTTTCTCGAAGGAGCCAGCGCAGATGGTGTTTCTTGTTGGAGGTGTGGCTGCATGTTGGGATGATAATATTTTGAAATGGCGAGAAGGGTGGTCAAGCGACCGGGTACTAAGATAAGGACTAGAAGATCAGTGATAGATCAGCGAATCCGTCTTGGGATGCAAGGGATCGTTCGAAAACAATTCCCTCGTGGTGGGCTCCAAATATATAAGGCTGAGTGTGAGTTTGGTAGGGAATTGTGATTGAAACGAGATAGCAATGAGACACATTAGTAGGTATCACGAAGAGGGATTGGTCTTGGACTAGATATGAGGACTTTCGAGAGGTTTTTCGGTCGTACTTGGAGCAGGGATCTCACTGTAAGATTCGCTATAGTATGAGTGTACATTTGTATCATATATACATTTCGAATACTTGTTTAAACCAGATCGAGCGTGAAAATACTTGACGGCGAAGTGAAAATACTTGATGGCGAAGTGAAAATACTTGACGGCGAGGTGAAAATACTTGATGAAGGAACAGAGGTGGTGTAATGTGAGCACGAGGTAAGGTACTGAATGGTAAGATGAAAAGAGATATATCTGCGTGACTCGGATGCAAAGAGTAACACTTTGCATCAGTGACTCACGCGGGTGACTCCGAACCTATGGTTCGTGCGTCTTGTTTTTAAAGTGCGGTCGGTGCATAAAGGACATTGAATCCTTATAGTATATACCTAAATGGGGAAAGGTGTTCCAGTTGAATGGTACCTATGCAGAAGGTAACCAATGAGGTGGTTGGGCGAGGGCATAGGAGCGGATGCGGGGACCAACTGGGTCAAGCAGAGACAGGCAGAGTGGAAGTGGGAGGAAAGCAGAAAGGGTATAGGGTAAAATGGAGTGGATATCAATATCATTGGAGTGGTCAGATCTGGTATATGACAACCTGCCCCCATGCATTTTCACTTGTTTTTGGTTGGTGCTGCTTCTAGTGTCTTGTCCCTATTCATTTGCACCTGTCATCACTCATTTTTGGTTGTTGAAAGTGCATATTTCACTTGTTTGCATATGTTTTACATTCATGCTGACTCATATTTGTAGCAGTGACTGTCAACATCAATACACAATGTGTGTGCTTGTCTGTGCATGTTCACATTTGTAGTATATTTTTTAAACTATATAACATCTATTTGTGTGCAGTACCCTGGTACCTGTGGGTAAACCCCCAACGGGTGTGGGTACAGGTACAAAATGATGATACCTGCAGCAAAACCCATACCCCCAGAGCAGGTATGTGTGCGGGTATGACCTCAGATACCTGGGGGTTTACCCATGCAGTTGCCTAGCTGCATATTCTGACAAGACTTTTTCCATCAATCTAAGAGGCATATAATGGTAGATCACTATTAAGAGTACAAGCATGCTCTAGATCACTCATGCTTCTTTTCAGTTTCTTGAAGGATCTCTGCAAGCTCCTCCTGCTCCTCCTTTGACCTTGCATTCTTCTCACACTTCCTCATATGAGAGACACTAATCTGTAAGCTTGTATCATTATGCCACATGTATTGCATGGAACTTCTTCAGATTGCCATTGTGAGTCCTTTGGCATTTCTGGATTACACAAAAAAACAAAGCAGGTACAGCACAGATGATGCACAGATGATGTGCAAGAGTTAGGGTCGAGGGAGTATCATACAGGACCAACACATAACAACCCAAGTGATATTACAATCTCAGCTAAGGCACGTCTAGGTCGGATTCTGATCGTGATCATAATGCCCCCTCCGGTACATTAAAACGCGTGGGTGTTTTGATGCCGATAGGAGATCTCCGACAGTTCGTACGGTCGGTTGCTGTGTTTACTACTATCCCTTCCGGTGCAATCAGCACCCACAGAAGTCGGCAGTCACACTTTTTCGCAGGGTTTTGTGTGACTGCCTGTGACCAATTGTAACAAAAGTGTCACATTTTCAAAATGTGTGACCTGCCAACTTCTGTGGGGTGCCAATTGCACTGGAAGGGATAGTATGGGATTACAGCTCTTTACATAAAGGATGGCACTGGCGTGAAATTTTCGTTCAATTAGGAAATGTTAGACTTAGTGAAATTTTGCTTGTGTACGCTCATACTACCCTTATATTATCATCTTTGCAACATGGGATTTCGCAAGATCAGTCGTGATGTGAAACTTGTGGCAATCCGACTCCATGAACAGAACCTTCTAAGCCTTTGTGATATCCTAGATTGCTGCGGATTTTCCAGACGCACTTGGTTTCAGATTTTGAAGCTCTGGCACGAAACCGGCGATGTCATGGACCGTCAGCCTAACACAGCAATGCGTGGTCGTCTGCATGCTCTCGATCGTGAAGATATTGATTGCCTGCTTCGCCTTGTAAGGCAGAATCCTGACTATTTTTTGGATGAGCTCATGCACCTCCTCGCGACAAACTAATTCATATCTGTCCATTTCACGACAATATTCCGCAAGCTCGAACGTGCTGATGTGAGCTACAAGAAACTCAAGGTGGTGTAAGGATCTTTGTGGGCTGGGACTGCTCAGGCTCGTTATCTTGGCCGTCAGAGTCAGAGTCAGGTTCCTCTTCCTCCGAAAGTTCTTTCATTGGAATGAAGGTCACTGTCATGCTCTAGCAGGCTCTTGTGTTTTTTGGAGGCAGGAATAGTTATAAACGGCATGATGATAATGAATTACAGGGGATGTGAGTGTACAATGAGCAAAATTTCACTAAGTCTAACATTTCCTAATTGAACGAAAATTTCACGCCGGTGCCATCCTTTATGCAAAGAGCTGTAAACTAGGCTGAAAGCCCATCCTCCCTGGGTCTCCCTCAGAACTTTCTACAATACTTGCCAGTCTGAGGGTATTTAACTCAGGCTCGCGTGGAGGCTCCTCATGAGGTTCTTGTACTAAGTGTTAAAGTATAGTCTACTTATGTTCTCTTATCCGCCGCAAATTTGGCTCTCATTACACTCCAGCGCGCCCCATCACTGCACTCCAGCGTGTCCTCCCTCGTCTCTGGCCAGGTTGACCCAAAAACAGGACGGTGAGCTGCGATAAACGGTCATCTGGGTTCATTTCCGTCGTCGCAGACCACCTGGCATTTCTCTGATTATCAGGACAGTGCCACACTGGATGTTCCTGGGGCAATTCCCGATTCTATGTAGGTCTTATACAGGTTGGCGTGACTGCGGTTTCACCGAGGCTCATTCGAAATCGCCTACTTGCAACTGTACGATATGGCTACAAGAGCTCCTGCGATGTCGAAGTTGCTCCTGCAACCAAACACGGAAGAGTCCGATGAGGCGATTCTAGCTAAGCTAGGATACAAACAGGAGTTTCGCAGGGAATTTACTCCACTAGAGGTGAGCTAGATGTCAGACTGTTTCGTGTAACGACGCAATCCAACAGCTGTACAGGTGTCTGGACTTGCATTCAGCTTTACAGGAGTACTCCCTGGTATAGCGTAAGGACACAAACCTATCAACATCGCTCCTTTGCTGATAAAAATACATTCAGCGCCATGCTATTTAATGCCATACCAAATGGTGGGCCTGTCGCTATGGTGTGGGGGGTAAGTTGTCATTCTATGGGAGGATTGCTGTTTGGTAAAGATCTCACGTTTCCTGTGTGCAGTGGGCACTTGCTTGCCCTTTTGTCATGTGCGTTGGGTTGGCGATGGCAGAGCTCGCGTCAGCAGCACCTACTTCTGGTGGCGTATGTCCTTAGCGCCGTCGCTGTTTCACACGTGACTCAACAAAATCTAGCTATACTATTGGACTTACTCCCTTGCCTCTCCGCGGTGCCGCAATTTTCTATCGTGGATGGTTGGCTGTAAGTCTTGCATTTCTATATCAAGCCTGTCATGACATCTGTAGATGCGAATACCATAGAGAATATCGCAGGAGTCGGTAAGACAATTTTCATTCTTTCAACAGTCTGCCTCTGATCGCATGGAGCTAGCTTCCGGAAACTGGGCTTGCGCAATTCAAATCACAGCAGTGATTAGCATTGCTACTGACCAGGCATACACAACTAACAACAAGCAGCTCTAGTGAGTCCGTCCTCTTTCAACTACGAAATGTTCATAATGGTTATCACAGTGGCATATATGCGGCTTTGATATTGTCACATGCTGTCCTCGTGAGCCTCGGTACCAAGGTCTTGGCAAGACTGCAGAGACTATACGCGACGGTGAATTTGTGGTAGGTGTTGTGTATTTGTTCATGATCTTTGCTTCAAATCCTCCGACAGCTTGTGCTTCATAGTCATTATTGCGCTTCCGATCGCAACGCCGCATGAATATCGAAACAGTGCAAGTTTTGCGCTAGGCGAATTCACAAACTGTATGTTTCGTCTTCCAATTAAAATCGCAACTCACACTTAGTTGTAGTGAACGGCTGGCCATCTGGTTTTGCGTTTATCTTGAGCTTATTGTCTCCTCTCAGTATAATGGGTTAGATTATCTTCTTCTGAATTATCAGTTCATGATCATGTTTAACCCACCAGCCGGTTATGATGCCAGCGTCCACATAAGCGAGGAGGCCTCGAACGCCGCCAGCGCGATACCATGGGCGATCGTAAGTGACGCTAGAAAATGACCTGCTGTTGTATTTACCCCAGTTAGACTAGTTCCATTGCCGTGTCAGCTGTCCTTGGTTTGGGTAAGTGGAATGACGCGTCACTCTGATCTTGATGGCATTTGCTCTGCCAGGAATCAATATCACCATTGCTTTTTGCATGGGCACTGACCTCGGCGGCCTTTTGAACAGCCCTATGGGTCAGCCGATGGCGCAGATCTTGTATAATTCGTTTGGGAAGACAACGACCTTGGCACTGTGGTGTCTCATTATTTCCTCGATGTACGTTTTAGTGGCTTGTCGTACACTGATAGCCTGATGCTAATTGGCAGAGCAGGTACATGGTGGTATCGAACGCCCTCCTGGTAGGCTCTCGCCAGACATTTGCATTTGCTCGTGATGGAGCCCTCCCACTTTCGCGGTATTTGTACCGGATCAACGGTTACACAAAAACACCAGTCAATACGGTTTGGTTCGATGCCGTCTTTATTCTGGTAATCGGACTTCTCGCGTTCGTGAGCACGCCGGCCATCAATGCGATATTCACAATTGGTGTCACTGCGTCATATGTCTCTTTCATAACGCCTATCACGACCCGCTTCGCGTTCAAGAACGACTTTAAACCCGGCCCATTTCATCTTGGGAAACTGGTGAGTCGGTCGGTAGGGATGCATTTCTGAGCTCATATGCCCGTGCAGAGCTTTCCGATCGCTGTGATCGCTGTGTCGGGGATGGTCGTCATGATCATTGTTTTCTTCTTTCCCTCGACCCCGCAAACGACTGTGCAGGAAATGAACTATACAGTTGTGGTCCTTGGAGGGTACATGTTCCTTGCAGTTTCCTGGTATTATTTCCCGGTGTATGGAGGCGTGCATTGGTTCAAGGGACCGGTGTCCAACCTTACACCAGCCATCACAGGCGACCACAGGGACCATGGTTCTGTGTCGGAGAAGGAGGAACAACGCGATGCAGATATCTATGTTTCAGTGTTAGATGTATAAGTAGTGTTCGCGTCGTGAAGTCGTCGGTATACAAAATGATATTTCAACAGATTTTGAAGATCATAACACGGTTATCCCTTGCTCCCGAAGCTTACCCTCAGCGCATCATTCGACGATCTCCGCAACCGTGCGCGATGCGAGTAGCTGACGCCCTTGGGACTAGCAACCGTGTCAGTAATACCAATACTGAATATGTTGCAGCACAGCCAGAAAATCAGGATGCCAGCGAAGAGGCACAGAATATGTAATTCTCGCAGAAATCAAAGTGAAGCGCTAACTGTCTTCTCGATGACACCACAGATCCGATATCTCGCCGTTCTCAAAGAACATCCGTTGTTCACGGGTCAATGATGGTGTTTGAGGGTTTCGGATCCGGGGCCTGACGAATGTTAATATCCTGTCACGGGTTTCGATTTGATAATGGCAGCTAAATATTGGCATCTTGCTACCCCAAGTTTCAGTCTAAGAACGTATCGCGCGAAGTTGGCACGAAGCGAAGTTGGGGATACCACAAATCGTATCTGCATGATGCCTATGACAGGCTTGTTGGATTATCGCTCAGGCTTCTCCACATTCAATCGGAACGCGGAGCAACATAGCCCATCAGCCGCCGGTGAAATTTGCACGGAGCTTGAGCAATGAGAATGGTTTCGCGCTCTTCACACGCCGAAAACTTGTAAGGAGCCGAGTAACACGGTATGAAGCGCAATTTTATCCATTCGTCCACCACACGTTAGGATCATAAGACACTGCAGTAGTAGTCCAGGGGACAAACTCAATCACTGTTGGTCCCGTGAATCCGTGATGATATAGATACTCCATCATGATATCTGTGATGGCGTCCGATGCAGATAGGCTTATCTGCTTCATCTGAGTTAAATTAGGGTTAGCACCATGATAGAACAGCTTCACAATGACCGGCAAAAAATGAACGAGCGGAAGGCGCAAGAGAGGCTGGATGACCAGCTCTGTTATTAGATGCTGGAGTAAGTATATGCTGACATCGTCTCCCCTGAACCATTTTGGCAACGATGCCAAACTCGGGGGTACCTGATGGCTGAAGAGGATGGTGCCGCATGGTGGCGGAGCCGGCAACGTCTGATGCTATGATGGTTACGACATCATATGTGCATCAGGATGTGGCGCACGCGATGGTCGCGGTTCGCTGCGACTTACTTATGTCCGTCGCTGATACATATGAGCCAGAATTTTCTGGGCTGAGATTGCTGAGACGTAGCCGGGTATGAGAAGGATCTACCACCAAACTTGCACCAAAGCGCGTTGATTTGACGCGTCTAGGTGAATTTTCAAAGTCCGGTATTTCCTATTTTGGAATGTAGTTGAGTGAGTGGTATTACCAACTCGAAGAGAAGGCAGCTCTTTGCCTTCTCTTCCATAAAAATGATACTTGTCTACATATATATGGTACATATTAGCTGGCCTCTGTATACGACACATCGAACTTTTGATTTATAAATGACCCTAGTAGGCACTCTCGACCCTCTATACTAAGAGCGCTGCTGAGGTTTAGGACATGTTTTAAGACTGCAAGTGTTGGCGCTGCGCGCCGTAAGGTTTAGGTACAAGTCCCGTTTAGGACAGGTTTGGCGACGCTTAGCGTGAATTTGGCTCCCTTACGACTTGCGACATTTTAGAATTGAGCATCTCTCAACGCCTACTCTCACCATCGCCATAAGCTCACCGTAAGCATCAAACTTCTTTTTGACAAGCGAGAAAAATGGGTCATTTGCAGATGCTAGTAGCTCTTGTCACGGAACACATCGGCGAGGACATGTCCCTCTGCTGTTGGAGCACATGCAACCATTAACACGTGCGAATTCAAGCAGCTGTGCGAGGAGCTCGGTGTGCTAATCTGGTGTACCATATCAGTTCAGCATGGAACCTATCATCCAGATAATGACCTGACCCCACTTCCTCGCCGATGTCCGGATGTTCTACATACCCAGGTTGACCTCCAAACCAGACGTTGGACATCCAGACCGTAAACTAAATAGTCATTTGGGTCAATTGCTGTCCAGATCGCAAACTGAGACAAGGTTCCATACTTAGGCATTTTCTGATCATCATCATCAGAAGTTCAAACTTCTCGGTCATAACGTGGACGTCATTTGCAGGGTAACGACGGTTCTATCAGGCTTTTAATACGAGTCGTTTTTTTGGACATGACTCAAGCTCATTCGCCCACTTGCAATCGCACGATATGATTTCGAGAGCTCCTGCGACTTCAAACTTGCACCTGGAACCAGGCGAGGATGAGGTAACTCTAGCAAAGCTAGGATACAAGCAGGAGTTTCGCAGGGAATTCACTCCGCTAGAGGTGGGCTTGATATCAGATTCTTTTGTGTACATGACATCATACAACTGCTGTACAGGTATCTGGACTTGCATTCAGCTATATAGGAGTGGTACCTTCTATAGTGTAAGCCGTCGCCGTGACGCAAGCCTGTTGACATCGCTCTTTTACTGATAGAAATCTATTTCAGCTCCGTGTTCTTTTATGCCCTACCAAATGGTGGGCCTTTCGCTATGGTTTGGGGGGTAAGCTTTTATCATATATCAAGATTGCTGTGTTGTAAAGATCTCATGTTTCCTCTGCGCAGTGGGCAATTGCTTGCCCTTTTATCATGTGCATCGGGTTGGCACTGGGAGAACTCGCGTCAGCAGCGCCTACTTCCGGTGGCGTACGTCCTTAACCCTGTGTCCGTTTTACACCTGACTCAGCAACGTCTAGCTATACTATTGGACTTACTCCCTTGCGTCTCCACGGTGCCGCAATTTTCTGTGTTGGATAGTTGGCTGTAAGTCTTGCATTTCTATATGAGACGCAGCCCGTCATGGCATCTGCAGATTCGAACACCATAGAATCTATAGCGGGAGTCGGTAAGACGATTTTCATTCTTTCAACAGTCTGGCTCTCATTGTGTGGGATTAGCTTCGGTAAATTGGGCGTGCGCGATTCAAATCACAGCCGCAATCAGTATCGCCTCTGGTCAACCATATGCGACTACTAATGCGAAGATCTAGTGAGCCCGTCCTCTTTCAAACACCCCAACGTTCATAATGATTGTCACAGCGGTATATACGCAGCTGTAATGTTGTCACAAGCCGTCCTCGTGAGCCTCGGTACCAAAGTCTTGGCAAGACTGCAGTCACTGTATACGTTGGTGAATTTGTGGTAGGTGTTGTGTATTTGTCCATGATCTTTGCTTCAAATCCTTCTACAGCCTGTGCTTCATAGTCATTATCGCGCTTCCGATCGCAACACCATCAGAATATCGAAACAGTGCAAGTTTTGCGCTAGGGAATTTCACAAATCGTACGTATCGTCTTCCGATTACAATCGCAACTTATGATCAGTTATAGTGGATGGCTGGCCATCTGGATTCGCATTTATATTGAGCTTAATGGCTCCTCTTTGGACAATAGGTTAGATAATCTTCTCTCGAATTTTCAGTACGTGACCGTGTTACACCCACCAAGGGGGTTATGATGCTAGCGTCCACATGAGCGAGGAGGCTTCGAACGCCGCTACCGCAATACCATGGGCGATCGTAAGTGACACTAGAAAATGAACTGTTGTTGTGTTTACCCCAGTTAGACCAGTTCCATTATTATTGCGGCCGTCCTGGGTTGGGGTATGTGGAACAACGCGTCATTCTGATCTTGATGACATCTTCTCGTCTAGTCATCAACGTTGTCCTTGCCTTTTGCATGGGCACTGATCTCGACGGCATCTTAAATAGCCCTTTAGGTCAGCCCTTGGCCCAGATCTTTTACAATTCGCTCGGGCAGAGAATGGCCTTAGTTTTTTGGTGTTTCATTATCTCAGCCCAGTACGTCTTAGCGGCATGTGGCGCATTGATAGGCTAATCACAAAGCAGATACATGGTGTCATCGAACTGTCTCCTGGTCGGCTCTCGCCAGACGTTTGCATTTGCTCGTGATGGAGCCCTCCCATTTTCACGATATTTTGTACCGGATCAATGGCTACACACACACACCAGTCAATACAGTTTGGTTCGACGCCGCCTGTGCTCTGTTAATTGGACTTCTCGCGTTCGTGAGCACCCAAGCCGTCAATGCGGTATTCACAATTGGTGTCACCGCGTCGTATATCTCCTACATAACGCCTATCACGACCCGTTTCGTGTTTAATAACAACTTTAAACCCGGCCCATTCCACCTTGGGAAATTTGTGAGTTGGTCGATAGGGATGTACTAGTATTCCTGAGTTAACATGCCTGTGCAGAGTTTTCCGATCTCTGCGATCGCTGTGACAGGGATGGTGTTCATGAACATCGTTTTCTTCTTTCCCTCCACCCCCCAAACAACCGCACAGGAGATGAACTATACAGTTGTGGTCCTTGGAGGGTTCATGTTCCTTGCGATTTCGTGGTATTATTTCCCGGTGTACGGAGGCGTGCATTGGTTCAATGGACCCATAGCCAACATTACACCGGCTATCACATGTGAAAACAGAGATGAGGATTCGATGTCGGAGAAGGAAGAACGTGATGCAGAAGTTATTGATGTATAAGTGGTGTTCGCGTAGTGGTCGGTATACTGGAATGATATAGATTTCAACAGGTTTCAAAAGGACTGATTATCCAATATTTCGCAATCTTTTCCGTCTCAGCTCCCTCCTTGCTTACATAGTCATTGGTGTTCCTATACTAGGGCTGAGGCAACAGCCCACAGGACGCATATGTTATAGTGCCATATATGCTTACCATAGAATAGATAGCTACCTTGCAAGCATTTGGTTCCTCAGTGTACTCTTTGACATTTCCAGTATGACGACGCAGATGATCAAAGGAATACATGTCATTGTGAATATTGGTCTTTTCGATAGCTTAAAGTCGGCATCACATCGCGACTGCCAGCACGGGTAAACAACTCCCAAGTCAGTGGTGCGGGATGGTGGTTGCGGGGTTCAAGAGGCGATCGATCGAACAAAGTCTGCTCCGATAACCCAAACCACGTCAGCGTAAGCCCTCCAATGGACTCCATATGTATATTGCTCCAAGGACCAAATGGCATCACGGTCGTCTAAATCGATCAAGCGCCGATGGTTGACGCGCCTCCATCTGACCCTTCTCGATAGCCTTCGCCACGCGGACTTTTCCTCCCGTTGCTTCTCCAGTTTGAACATGAGCATAGATCAATGAACAGGGCGAGTGACCGAGGCTTTACCGCAGTGGGATCGTGACGTTCTTGCCGCTGCTTCCGGAGATATCTGGGTTTCGGACATACACGATAGGTGATAGGCTGCATAATGCCTCGCATAAAATGGTACCTTTTTGACACTCTTGCCCTTGCCGCGCATTTTCCGCTTCTCTTTTCTCCGCTCGTGACTTGCCCGGTTTTTTTTTTGTCATCTTGTCCCCTTTCGCCTTCTGAAGCGTCCTCGTCGTCATCATCAACAAGCTTCGTTTCATTCCCGCTTTACCCTGGATGCGTTAGTCTTTCGAGGCGAGGGAGACGAACCGACGAAGGGAACTCATGCGTTGTCGTTGACAGCAGTCGTTAATTTTGTCGTCGGAGCGAGGGATCCGAACAAAATCGGTGTCCAGTGCGATAATATCCGGGTTGAATCTAAATCGATAGTTTAGTCCTATCAGCATCATTCAGGAGCGAACCATAAGTGGAGCATACCGTTGTCCAACAAGACCTTTGACTTCTCTCTCCCTTCTGCCTTTTTGTTCTCGAATGGATCGGCTTCCGTGCTATCGAAGTTTGGCTCGCCAAACACCAGGCACGAGAATGCTCGACAGGACCGGCATTGTGTCCATCGTAAGGATATCCTGGAAGGGGCAAAATCGTACCGAAGTAAGCGGTCCGATGTGGTATTGGGGGTGAGTGAGGTAAAGTGGTGGCGGAGCTTTTGCCGCCATGCGGGGTCTGTATTGACGGTTTTTGTGTAAACCTGGCACGCGACGAATTAGCACCATCACAAACAAGAGTGCGGTAAAAACCCACGTTGACACTTCCACCTACTGCCACGCCTAACGCGCCCTTGCACTCCATTCTAGCTTGCGCGCCACCTCTTGTCGTCCACTCCCGCACAGTGCCCTTCCAATTCCGACAGTCCCAGACCTTTACAACACCATCCTGGCCAACGTTGCCATAAAACGCCCACGGAGCTCTGATCGACGCTCAGACCCACAACTGGATCGAGATGTGCTAATATTTGTACAGCAGGATGGGGCAGGTTTGGCGTCCAGAGGCTGACAACGCCATTAGAGTGACCGAGGTGTAACACTGCGTTGTGTTTATTTTGCGCTAGTGTATTACATGCGCCAAGCTTGGTTCGATGCTCTGCAACGATGTGACCTGTGGAGTATCTTGATATTTTAGAAATCCAGTATTTCCCTACTATGGACTGAGCTGGCACAAGTTTATTGAGTTGGAATAACTGACCACACTAGCGAGCAACCAGTGATATGGAAGAAATTCTAGTCGCGTAGGTTCGATGTGAGCTTTCAATCGGTGTAGTTCGACACCATCGCGGTCGTATATAAATACATATTTTTTTTGGGCGACTGCAAAGAATGATTGATCCTGCAAGAATCTGTAATGAAAGATTGAGAGTTTCTGCATGTAAGGGACAATTGGCGTACGTGATATCACGACATGTTTCCTGCAGCTGAAGCTCAGCATGCATGGTTCCTGTTTGCCAGTCAAAAGTCGCGACATGACCCATGCTGCCGACAATAGCAAGATGTCTGCCATTCCTTGAGTATCTCGAGCGATATGGACCACCATCCAACTTCAGCTCCCGTCGTCCCTTGGCAGCCTCCTGACCAGCACCTTGCCACAATGTCATCTTGACCTATTCTCCACGTTCGTTCTAGCTCGTTCTCCACCTGCATTTTCCCTGCCTCGCTCGCCAATAACAGCTCAGCATCTTCGACGAGTGCTTTTGACCGCGCAACATGAACTGCCTGGCGGTTTAATTTGGTTCTTAGCTTGAGATCCTTGATGTGCTTATGCTTTGGGACATTGTCTGGTGGTGGAGAGGTGGGACGCAGGGATTTCGGCAGGGACGTATGTTGTACCTTAACAAACAAGGAATCCATGGAAGACACCATTCGTCAGGTTAGAAAGTGTGAAGTGCTCCTCGAGTGCTCTCTTACAAAATTGAAAGTATTGATCTTGCTGACTAAGCTAGACTTCTCTCTCCGAGGACCGAGGGTTGTCCGTTGAAGTCAAAAATTCAAAAAAATCATTCACCACTGTCTACGAGCTCTATTCAACGTACATTTCTTTCACAACCTATCTAAAAACCTGCTATCATGTGGACTGCCGAAGAAATTGATGCAGACCATGAAAAACATCGTAGTAAGTACATCCGAGGAACGGCTGACGACACCAGCGCTATTATATTGTCGGACAGTAACCGGGAAGGAGACTCCCCCCCTCTCCTACATGCAACGTTTTTAGATGAGATTATTGAGAGAGAGAACAGTAAAACTTACATCAAGCTACCTCCTTGGCGCCTCCGTCCTCGAAAATTGATGCCTTAGGCACTGAAGAGCATGCGAGTAGGGCAGAATATGATCCGAGGCCTGCAATACGTCACGAGAAGGGAGCATCCTTCGAAATACCATTCCAGCACATCGAGACATCATGGAAAGGTCAAACGCTGCCACCACGAGGGTCATACTTGTATGTATATGATAAGTCGAGGGTCGCGAAGGTTGTCGTGAAGCAGCAGTGCCGTTTGGATTCATCAAGGAAGAAAAGGGTGGGTAATTGGGTGACGAGGTGGCACAGTTCTTTGCTGATCCCTGTAGTGAGACGTCGAGGACATACTCTATGGCAATTTAGGGTCTACCGATCCTCCATCCGGTCAGCCCAGCGTCCAATGCCTTCCGCTGATGTGTAGGATGTCTGGACTCGGCCATCTCCTCCACTGTCCAACCTTCCTCGATCAGCTCCGAAACTCTTTCTTTCATGTCTTTGTTGATAATGTTGCCTACGGCGTGTACGTCGTGAATGAGTCTTCTGTGAGGCTAGAGCGGGTGTGTGATGCGAGGATAATTTTTCTGAAATTTCCTATTTTCAATTTTTGGATATGCGAACCTGATCGGACGACCCAGACAACAATTTCCGAATGCAACGGCCAGGTGCCGCGTCACGACCGCGTAATTTTCACCTAGCCCCCACGACACTGGTGCCGCACAATCCCCTTTGAGTGCTTGCCACATCAGCTTGTCATGACTTCACAGTTCTTTTCGAGTCTGGTGATTATCATGCATTTGGCTCAACCGTTTTGCCTCAAGTAGGGCATCTCAGCAGCAAAGCGATGAACGCCTTTACGTTCACACTGGAAGTAAAACCTCTGCTTGCTCCAATGGCTTTGCCTATTCCCTTCCACAAACTCCATCATGTTTACTTCCCGCTCCATCATTTTTGCACTGCTCAGCTCCCTCGCTGTGTCAATGCGTGTATACAGTGCCCAGGCTCATTGAAGGTCGACCGTAGTGTCTCGCACCTGTCCAGTACCGGCCCATTCGACCAGTTCACAGTTTGCACGTGCGTCGAACCCACACATCTTCATTAAACAAAGTAACTAATACGCTGGCAGTTACACAAATGCCAAGTTGTCAGGTGGCGATTCATCAGTAGCCTGTGAGTATGACAACGTAAGTGCTTTCTGGATATCCTCATTGTTCTCGGTGACATGCTAGCGATCATCAGGAGACCGCCAATCTTTTATTTGGGCATGAGTCTTGTCCGATTACAGCAACTATGAAGAATCACTGCTGAATGTGATCTGAAGAGGCGGGGGCGACGAGACATCCAACAGGAGAGTAATGTTCGTCTGCAGACAGCCGGGTGTACACTAGTACTTAGACACTATCTGTTACGAGAATTGCCAAATCAGTTGCATCATCCCAATCCCCTATTAGAATACTCTCCCCCCAGGTGATGGTAAGCGGTTAATAATCCCGCACATCGGCCTATCAACGTCATGGTAAACAATGCTGTTTTTTGATACTCCCCTTCACAATACCTTATACCTCATCCGTTCACAGGATGATGGATCCGAGAATCTTACGATGGGCTCCGGTCGTCA